GCTACATACCTATAAAATTGCTACCATTATCTTTGCAGCCAGCATCATATCTCATCTATTTTGGCTGAGTAAATGTCAAATTGCTGCATGACAAATTATTTTGCACAATATGTACATCATTTGTCAATTTATATGATGGCATTTATATGTGACACAAATGCTTGTAAAACAGTGAAAAATGTGTCGTTGAATGTCCTCTCAAAGATTGCAAAAAGATTATATAACATGTGGAGAAAATGTTTTAAGTTGGTCTAATTACCCTGCTTGAAAAAAAATCAAGTACATATATGTACATCGATAATTTCAAATCTAATGATGGCATGGTATTTAAAATCCCTGCTTTGATATATTCATTTTGTAATTATATAAATACCTTATCTTGTTTGATTGTTGTCTGATAAATGACTGTGCATACATGGCCTGAAATTGGGTGGAGGCAAGAACAATATCAACCTTTTTTCAACCTTTTCTGATAGGTGATATAGTGCTATGGGTTTGAATTCCCTTTAAAATAAGTTATTTGTTATAAGGTCTACTTGATGGTACTTTCTTTGGAGGAGTTTATTACAACACAACTTTTACTCTTGATGTTGCCATAATTTTGCTACAGTTGGACAAGATTTTGATTAACAGAATTGTCGTGCTTGTACAGATTTTTATCCCAATGGTTTCCATCTTGTTTTGACCTGTCATTAGGTTAGATATTTCCTAATTGAATAACTCCATCTAGATGATGTTCTATTTCTATTGTTTGTCAATATGGCTCTATTTACATAGGTGACAACAGTGTCGTCATTTCACTGTCACGTTTTAAATACACTGTTTATTTTGGGAGAAAGTTAAAACTTAAAAACATGTGAACTAACGTCATCACGGAAGGCGTTTGACATTTGGTATGAGTTGAACACTTGGAGTGTTTGAATTAAAGCTCTCCATGAATTTAAATGTAATATTGCCGTGGTTGAAATTGACACACACACAGACCGGTTACGTGATCTGGAAATCATTACTTTATTATATAACATACAATTATTAGACTTGAAAGTTTTTTAGCTGGTTTTATTGTCAGTGCATATGACTCACACGCAATTTAACTAGGATTTGGTTTACATTTGATTTTCTTCAAATTTACACAGATCTCCTTGCCACATGCAAATTTCCAAAGTAATGGGTTCACTATTCCAGTCATTGATTTTATAAATGGATTTCTTTATTTTGTTCAAAAAGAAATTTGTGTTTCACACTAGTTCAAGCGCCCTTTAATTTACGCTCTGATGTTCAGCATATTAAAAATTCTACTTCTGTGAAATAGTAGATTATCATCCCGATTCACTCAGAGTGCAAGCAGTTTCCACTACTAATAATATTTCTAAGCCTCAGTGACTTTCCTTAGGATTCTTAAGTGGAGAGGATTCATAATGGTCACAGAATTGTCACAGCACCATGCATTTAAGAACCTAGCCATGGCCCACCCCCAGAAACACTATTGGTAAGCCTCTCTTATCTCTAATATAGACTGTCCTTGACCTTGTTAGACCTTTGACTCTATCTAATATTTCCTATGTCATTATCTGTGCTAGTAATTATGTGTCTCTATAGACTTAATTATCACCTAATTACTCTAGGGTGATATTGATGAGATGGTGGCTATAATGAGAATATTCAAGGATGTTATAATATACGTACAGGAAATTAATACTGTCGATATAGATTTCTAGCGTCATCAGAATTCAGATGAGTTCAGATTATCCACTATTAAAGGGAACATAAGATCATGGTTGACATGATCGATCAATCTAAAGCAATTACCTTTGACATACAGTGAAGATTGGTGTTAGATTCATATTCAGATTTCAAGTTACTTCAAGGGCAATTCCTAAATGAATCGTCCTCTAATCATAGAATTTTGCAAGAAACATAAAATGTAGATAGATATCTACCAAATAAGGATTGATAGCTATGAGGATTTTCGGAAACATGTCCATTTGACAAACATAGTTGTAGTATGGCATGCAAATGTGTCATGGCATGTAATTCTTGGTAGCGACGCCCTTCCTTGTTATTGCGTCTTTAATTCAGATTTGGTTATTTCAGTTCTTTGATGAAACATTATGTGTCATGACATGCCCAATGTAAAGGGCATGCCCTACCTTTCTGGTGACACCTACTGCTATTCCAACTTTATAAAAGCTCAAATTCCTATTTCGCTATTTGTGTTCTTTGATGAAACAATCTGTGTGCCAATATATCAGTATATTTCCTGGTCACTGATAAAATTAAATACTAAAGTATGTCAATTGGTGGCAGTTGAATAGCTCAGTAGGTGGCGTGTTGGATTGTCGTCTGCTAGGCGATTAGGTACCATGGGTTCGAATCCTCAAGGAAAGAAAAAATTCTGATGCCTGTGCCAGTGCTTCCTAGAGTCAGCCTGGTATCTGCTCTCACCCCTTTAAACCAACACGGTTTGTATATCACAATGATACAATTTCAGTTGTGGAATTATCCAGTCAACTCATCTATTGATCTATCTGAGATATAGCTAGGGAAATGAGGTCTAGTTTACTGTCTTTATGACTGATGTAAATTGAAAAGTTGATGAAATGGACTACAGATGATTGTCAGTTTTATTTCTTTAAAGAATTAATCATGAGATTCAAATTGGATTTGATCCTACATGAATATAATATTGCATCCCCCTACTACTGATTAAAAAATAAAGATAAACATTTTGAACTTGAATTTCAAAATAACAATTGGAGCATTAGTTGTACCAAATGAAATATTCATACAGAGGTTGATTTGTTTTAATTTTAATCTGAATCTTGAAAAAGAATATTCAGCATCTACTTTGATGGCAAAACTAAATATTTTACTAAAGGCTGAATTTAGTTTCGATACTATCACAAAGCAACTTTGAGTGTTAATTGATGTAACCTTGTCTTATAGACCATAGTTTGTCACAAGTGAAGCTCCAGTGATACGCACCATGAGAAAAAATTCCCTTTTTTTTCTATTTAAGTATTTGAGTATTGAAGTTCAAGTACTTTAATGCTTTATTGTGAAGCTTAATACTACTTATTTAATAACTGTCATATAAATATTAAGATAATATCGGAAGTTCACAATCAAAGATGGTTAGAAATGAGATCATCAGTTTTCCTGTGTTCTGTTAACAAACATGTATCTTATCAAGATTATGTGAAAGCGGGGAAAAGATATTGCAGTACACTGATGACTCAATAAGCTAATTACCACAGCTAGTTTATCTAGGTTAAATGTAGGAGTGGCTTCTACTATCTTTCTGACCTGACAGTCTCTGTCTCCTATCTCTTACATTACACTACTACATCCTGCTATCTACTATATATTACTGCTAAAAGGATATTATTACCGTTAATGGAGTATTGTGAATATATCTTTGTGATGCTCCGTGGGATTTCTATATCAACTTAGTTCCACACTGTTGGAGAGTTTTTAATACGTAAACTAGATTTATGATACCATTGTGTTCGGTGTTTGAATTTGATGGCTTTTAGTCTATGGAGTGAAGTTAAAAGTCCAGATTTTAGTTTGTGTTGTGTATGATTTAATGGATAATGTTTCATCTTGCTTACTCAGTTCTTAATTAATGTTAAGGTGATTATCGCTTGATTTTACTAAGGTATAATTAGTCTCTAACATGCTGACTCAATTAGTCAATTATCAGTTATTACAAGTGCAAGGGAATTAAAAATGTACTTTTCCTAGTACATAACTCATGCAGCCTTCAGCCTTCAGTAACAGATTGTTGAAAATCTTTTTAAATTTGGGGTATTGGATATGAAAGTAAATTGGGAGTTGGGGATTCTCCAAAACGCGCTGACATTTTTTTTCCGACCTTGCACTATCTATCTGATAGCTTGTTTATATTGTCTGCCATATCATTCAAACCTAGATTCAGCTTATTAATTTGATTAAAATATTTTATGATTTCAGTTGTGGATTCCATATTACGAGGTGTAGAAGTAGGAATTGCTCCACGTAGAAGACCAAGGAAAGATAATTTACCGAAAGAGCAACCTGTAAGTACTTTTAAATTTAGTCACAAACATAAACATAAACATTTGATAAGCTTACACAAAATATTTTCACTGTTAAAATAGTACTCGATACATTGTAGAGTGATATAGAAATACCACTGTTAAAATAGTGCTCAATACATCAATTGTAGAGTGATATAGAAATACCACTGTTAAAATAGTGCTCAATACATCAATTGTAGAGTTATATAGAAATACCACTGTTAAATAGTGTTCAATACATCAATTATAGAGCGATATAGAAATACCACTGTTAAAATAGTGCTCAATACATTGTAGAGTAATAAAGAAATACCATTGTTAAATAGTGTTCAATAAGTTTATATCAATTGTAGAGTGATATAGAAATACAACTGTTAAATAGTGCTCAATACATCAATTGTAGAGGGATTAAAAATATCTGTTTTAATATTTCTACATTTGAAACACATACATTTGACTAGATTTCAGTTATATTCTTTGATAATAAGTATCCTGTTCAGTGAGTTTCCATCTCTTTTCTTCCTTACATCTGATACAGCAAATTGTTGAATTTCAAATCAGATAGTTTTCACCAACTCAGTGTTATTTAGAACATCTTGTAGTCAGCACATTTTAATATCAATTTAGTTATAGATAAATTATATGACATTTAGGTCTCAGTCTGCAAAATTTAACTAACTAGTGAGAGGCATAAATAATTAGCAATGTCTACACAAATAGGATGAGTTAGCTTCAATTAGATCTGATATATTAGTCTTATTGCCTGTCTATCGGTAGAGTTCATATATGTTAAATGTCAAAGGCAAGTTATGATTAAAAATGCATGTAGAGAAATATAGAAGCATTGCTGACAACATGTATAAATAATGAGCATTATTTAAAAGCAGTGAAGCAATGGTGCAAAAATCATAAGTGACATGCTTAGATAGATCATCAAGACTTCTTTTCAATGGCTGGCTGAGAATCAAAGGAGCTTTCACATGTAAGAAAACATATCAAAATAGAACTTAGAATCAATTTGTTTCACTCTGTTAACACTGTCAATATAATACAATGGTTATACTGATTAGTACAGTAAAGCAAAACTCACTCTTCTGGAACACCTAATGTCGTTCTTAGCTTGAGTTTCTCTTCTTGTCACGCCCTATCGTATACCTACAATGATTATAATGTTAGTCTATTATTGTTATTATTCATCTTTCTCTGACAAGATAGATACATCTAGTTTATTGAGATTGATATGTCCTTGAGATTTTTCTCTTCATAAAGGAAGCAAACAACTCAATCCAGATCATAGTTTCATTCTGGTTGATCTTGTCTGTTATTCTTAAACTTATACTTCTATATATCTACTTCTTCTTTTGTACGGCATTATTTAATGTACTGAACTCAGATGTTGATGCAAGATGTTTTTGCATAAGGTGGCAGTGTGCACCATGTTTGAGGACAATCATGAAATATTTAAATCACATTTAATGATAAAGGAAAGAAAATATGAAATTGAGTCTGTTTAAGAGAAATTCACAACCAAATGAAGTTCATGAAAGAAGGATTACCCTTTCTACTGATATTGATTACATAAAATGACTTCACAATATTTACTAAAAACACATATATCACAGATCCTGTTATTTTTTTTTTATGAAATTGGCACATATTCCACCTTTAACAATATTAAATGTATTAAACATTTGCACCAGCTGAACATTATCAACATCAAAGAACTGTGTAAAAACCATTATGTTGTTCTATTATATTATAAAAAAACACTCATGTAGACTTGTTTGTGTAAATGTGTTATTTTGGTGTTGTTAAATTATATGGATGTTTATGAAGGTCAAGCCATACATCATGATTTTGAAATGTATTAGCAGTTTTTATTATAGTTTAAACAAAATTATTACCACAATAATCTGCAAACTTATTGATGTGGTTTTTTGTTGAACTGAATAGATTGAGGTTGGAATTTTGCAGAAGCACTAGATGCTCTGAGTGTTTTCTACTTCAATATAATAAACTTTATGTATGGTTTTAGCAGAAGCATGAATACAGGTGAAACAGTTTAAGCTGTTTTCAGTGCACCTTTTGCCTTTCTTGGTTTCAGTCCCTATTTGCACAAACTTGATAACAGTTAAAAGGTTATTGAATTGTAGCCTTGAATTTGGATCTTTTTTTCTGTATGAATTTGTGTCAGCCTAGGCAGTCTTTATTCTTGAATTGTATATATGTTCCATTTACAGTTGAACAGAAAGATGATTTACTTAAGATCACCAGACTTCAACTGGCACATCAACATTTGAAACTTTTCCCATCAATTTACTTATCTATTTTATTGTCATGAACTTATTAGTGGTTGAAATATAAGTTGAACATTAAGTAGATCAAAACTACTCAGTTTATATTCACCACTTCGTACTGAACAATCTGATTTGAAGTGAACTTTTTGTCTTTGGAAGCTTTTTGAATTGTCAGTCTTGATTCAACTGTTGTTTTTTTATGGTCAAAATAAACTCAGTTCAATTGCATTATATAATATTTCTTGAATAACATAGTATCTACCTGTGGGGTGGAGGGTTTCATCTGTTTAAGATTGAGATAGTGCAGTTGGCTTGGGACAGGTATATTGTCATCAGGAGGTTTGAAACTTGAGTCTTGATTAGACACTAAACACTAAGAAGTTATCTCAACATTTGCTTACCCTTGTTGCACATGGTGTGGTTGGCCGTATTAGCTGAATAAAGAGAACAGAATTGCTTAAAACTCCCTCCATTTCATTAATCGTTAGATCTCCGGTTCCTGGAGTGATTTCGTCTCCCTGGGGATGTGGGACTAGGGTGTCAGGGGTGTGGCCAACTGGTGTAGGAAAAGAATTTATTTTGAATTGAGAGAGCACTTCACATCATTACATGCTGAAAATGTGAATGAAACAAATTTTTTTGAGTATGAAAGGTCCAAGCTTTTCTCTCCAGGGGTGTGAAGGCGGGAAAAGGATGAGAACCACTGGCTTAGATAGATCTATCATTTTTGAAGTATTTGAGATTTATTTCATGGCTGATGTAGAAAGGGTGTGGGAAAGACAACTTCCTATTGATACATACATGATTCAAGAAATTTATTGAGGAAAAACACACTTTTTTCATAAATAAAGTCTGTACTGTACAGGATTGTTAATATATACCTGATATTTCTATCACAGTTACTGTCAGGTTGATATGTGTTTAAATAACAAGTTTATCATTTTGTAAGAACCAAGACGAAAATAGTTACACTTAACTTGAGGACATGATATCATTAGGCTCAACTCTCATGCTTGTCTACATATTAAAATAAAGGTATTGAATTAATTTTTTAAAATTAGCTATGTTGTCATTTTGCAATGAGAATAATACTATGATTGATGCATTTTAATATAACCTATTGTTATTGTTTATATAAAAAAAAATCAGTTAACTTCAATCAATTTGATTGATTACAATGTCTATTAGGTTTATAGAAACATAAATATGTTGAATTATTTTGTCATGCTTGAAATCACAAAAAAAAAAGAAAAAGAAATTGATGTTGACATTATAAAGTCAATTTCCGAAAGTTAATTTCCATTGCTGAAATAGCTGTTCTGATGAAGATTTTGTATCCAAAATATTTTAGGAGAACTGGTCAATTATACATGGCCTCTAATATGGCTTTTTCTAACTTGATGTATAAGTCATTATTTAGATGGTTAGTGGTCCATTATTAACTGGTATATATGTTTATTTACATTAAGTACTAATGTAGGAACTGTTAGTATATTTTGTCAGAGATTTCTTCGGTCTGTTAACAACATAAACATAACTTTCTCTTCATTTTTATCATCTCATTTCACAAATCAGTAATGGTTATTTGGTCCAACGATGATTCAAAATACTCAATTATTTACAACTATAGGTCTTTGGCTATAATTTGATAAAGGTCAATGGCAATTACAGAGATTTCTACATGAATGGTTATTAACTTCTGGATCTGAAGACTCTCTTACTGTAAAACAGACATTTTGGAATTGAAGATTCTTGATTGCATGTGCATTGACCTAGAATAAGTCATCTTTTTTCATTATTTAAGTCATCCCAGCTGTAAATGGGTACTGGAATGAACAAATGCTAAGAAGTTTTGCTAAGGATTGTTAAACAGGATCTTGAAGGGTTTAAGTTTTCATCCTTGTTTCGATGCCCTGCTTTTGGTTTGACATCAATGTGAATTTTGTTTCTTGTGTTATTAAGGACAAGACCAGTGGAAGTGTTATTTATCAGACTCAGTGTGAAATACATACTGTATTTTAAGTATGATTTGATAATAAACTGGTAGAAATATTTAGTAAATGTTTACCCAGAATATACCAGTCTCCCACTGTGTTTATGTTGAAATATCATTATTACATTACCTTTGATTGAGAATTAGAAGTTCTGATTGAAGTTTAAAATAACCTTATTTACTTATTTCACTGAGTTGATGTTGAAATAACTCATTAGTCAAATTACTAAGTTGGAAATAGCATTGATTACTTATCTATTATAACATTGACACCAGGGGATAGATATATCAAACATAGAGATAATGTAAAGCCTTATACTGGATCATAATTTTAACCCTTTGAAAACTGGCAGTCACTCTTCTTTCCATAAAATTACATGTATGTGATATAAACCGTATCGTTATTACGAAGTATTAAAATAAAACATTAATGTCATACACTAATTAAGGTAATATTACTTTGAGTCCAGGATATATAACACATTTACATTTTGTGTTCAAAGGGTTAAAACGCTCGTTTTGAAAAAAAATATCTACAGATACAGTCTTGACTTGTGACAGTAGCCATGGTTATCAGAAATATTTCTTCAGTACCTTTCCAGTAGAAGACAAACTAATTTGAGTTGACAGTGCTTGACAATAAAACCTAATATTAGTATGTCATGAAATAGTGATACAGGAAATATATTGGTGTACATACATTTGAATCAATTGAAAATGTATTTCCTTATCAAAGTTGAAAATCTAAATACTAGAAATTGCCTGGTACATGTACTTTAAACTGAAGTTGTATATAAAGTATGCAATATTTGAGGTATTGTATATATACAATTGTGAGCTGTAGGTGAAGTGTGTTATGTTTATGTGTCCTGGTTTTCAAGTAGTAATTTCCTGTGAACAATGTGCGTGGATGTGACTCACCACCGTTGGTTAGATTGTGAAGGTTTTTATTGTGAATATATGATGAAAGATATGATAATAGGTTATATAAATAATATTAATCTTATCTCTTGTCTAATTAACATATTCATATCCTTTATCTGACCTACTCGCCAGCTATTAGACATGTAACTTTTGTTTGTATTAAAGGGAGTGAATGCATAGTTGTTTGAAAGTTATAGCCAAATTTTTTCTTCGGAGGAGGTGTCCAGATGCAGTCAGTTGTTGATAGATTGATGTTCCTTGCCATGGAAGCTGTGGGTTCCTTTCCTGTAAATGATGTTCCTTTCCCAATGAACATAGCAGTTGTAGTTATCCTAAATTTAATGATTTAATCAAGGAATTAGGCTTTACCACCAATATATTCATATTTGTGATTGTTATCTGCAAGAGCATGTCTCCCCCTCGCCATGGAAGATATTGCTATACAATATGTTCTTCCTTTTAATGAATGAGAATCTACTGTATTGTTGTTATCTTACAGTTCTATTACCTTGAATTTGGAAGAGCAAGCATTTAAGGTATTGAACCACAAACAGAAAAATGGAACAAATTGATGCTATCAGTGTCCTTAACACACATAACAAATTTAGAAAACTTTTTTTTTACAATCCCTTTAAATTTTGAAATATAAAAGCCGTATTCTTTGACCTTGACTGTTGTAAATTCAGTGTTCACTGCTTTGATTCATGTAAAGGACCTCAGAGATTATTGGTAACATATTGTATTTAAGCAAAGAAATTTATCTGATATATCATGTTATTTGTTGTGGGTTGAATTTTAATGTGCTAGGCAGGTGTTTTTACGTATGACCTAGATTGAAATAGATATATAACAGTATTATAACTTTCCTAGGGCTTTGTCAGTGGTAATTATATAAGTTAGAAACATGACGCTCAATTTGAAACTGAGTACTATCAAGTGTATGGTTGTCAGTATATGTACCAATTTTCAGTAAAGTTATCTGTATTGTATGGCATGAAATACTATTCATGAAAAATCTAACCCAAAAGCACTGACATTTGTCAAGATTACTTGGGTATATTTATTGCACACTTGAAATTGAAAAAAATACAGGTGAACTGACTAAATGCAGGTAAAAAATATTTTCACAACATTGTGTACCTGATATTTCATTAGCTTAGTGCAGAACAGTTGAAATTGCAATTCCATTTCATTTCATATTCATTTGTATTTCGAGATAATCATCAGTTGAAATTTTTTGAATGCCATATCCATGAATAGAAATAAATAATTTTGAATAACCTATTATTTGAACCTTTATCAGTGTTATTGAAATATAGTTAAATATTAAACCATTCTGTCACAAGAGAGATAGAGACTGGCTTGAAAGCTAAAATATAAAAAAGGATTGTTATGTATTAGAAATAAAATATAGCGATAAGAAATGGTTGACTGCTCAATGTAATATATTGAAAATTTGTCTGACGGTTAGCACAGTTTGCCTGTATTTCCCTATGGTTTTGAATGATTTTTCTTGCTCTGCTTTTTTGGCTCACTAGCTGACTCAAGGCCAGATAAATTTTATCAAAAGGCTTTGATTTGCTGGCTCGCAGTCTATTTGTTGATTATTCATAATGGTGGCTCAATATATCTTATATTGATGGCTCAAAATCTGAATTTATGGCTCACAATCTACATAGATGGCTCACATTTTGAATGTATGGCTCACAATTTACTGGCTCACAATCTTCATTGATGGCTCACAATCTTCATTGATGGCTCACATTCTGAATTTATGGCTCACAATCTGAATTGATGGCTCACAATCTGAATTTATGACTCACAATCTGAATTGATGGCTCACAATCTGAATTTATGGCTCTCAATCTACAATGATGACCCACAATTTGAATTTTTGGCTCATAATCTACATTGATGATGGCTCACAATCCACTTTAATGACTCAGAATCTACATTGATGGCTCACAATCTGAATTTATGGCTCTCAATCCACTTTTATGCTTACAATTTGAGTTCCCGGCTTAGTATCCTTTTTGCAGGCCCACTGTCTGACATACTGGTTGGTCACTTATTCGCTAAGATGCTGACATAAGCACTAAATTTTCAATTAACAATTTTAAGAGTTGAATGACTTAAAAGCATATCCCGGAAGGCTTAGGTATGAACTAGCAGAATAAAATAGGACAAAGTAATACAACCCATTTAATAATGTAAGTACTGGTAGCATATAATTGAAAAGCTTTTGAAATGTATTGATGGTGACTTTACATAGTTCATTTCCAATAATCAATTTAATGAAACAGGTTTTACCTCAAGTATAAATACAACATACAAATGCTTTTATACACTCAAGGTTAAATAAAGGTTGTTTATACAAAGCTACGTAGAAATTATTGAAAATGGATAGAAAATGGGTTGAGATTTTAAGTACCTGACCACGATCTTAATCTTTATTACATTTTTGCTTGACAATAATCTTTTCTTTACTTGATTCATATTATCTTAGACAGCAAGGTGATCTTTTTATTATACAAGATTTTCTATTTCTTTATGAATAGATCCAGTGAATACAGACTGAATTCAGTGTATGTATTAGTGAATAGGATATGAATGAATAGATAAATGAATGAATGAAATGTGGAGGGTCTCGACTGTCATAATTCAAAGTGCATATGAATTAATGTAAATTTGAGTAGTCTTTTGATGTTTATATTGAGATAAGAATTGTACGCTCTTCTAGTAGGGCTTAGGAAAGGAAATGAAATGAAAACTGAAATAGATTTTATTAGCTGAACTTTTGTACGAATACTCTAAAGATTTGAGCCTGTTAAAAATATTTATGTGCATGCAATAAAAACGTAAAAACTCCTAGAGGAATACCATTGAATTTTGTCTGTTAGATTCT